AGTTTTCACGTTGCATTAATTTGGATCATTTCTGTCACCTTTCATGAATATTTGTTATTTTCCAGTCCTTCCTTGCCCACTAATGTAATAATAATGTCCAGTCCTTGGGCACTTTACTGTAACATCATTAATGGTTAATTAACATTTTGTGTAAGTGGCTTGCATAGTATTTCAGTTCTTCACTATTCAAGTTCTGATGCCTTTGATGTTAGAAGTCTTAGCCTAGCAGCTCTTATTTCGTTGATCCTCTCTTCTTTCTCAGGGACTAGGCTTTGTTCATTTGTAAACATTTTCTGGAATCCTTCAAGTTTGTTGCATACCTCCCTTTTATTTCCTGCAATTTTTTCCAATTTTTTTAGTTATCACAATCCTTTTTTTTTTTTTTTTTTTTTTTTCCTGATTTAACTTTTAGCAAATTTGATTCCATCTTTGCCATAGCTGCTATGGCTATTTCATTTTTTTTTTTTTTCAGTTTTCTTCTCCACCTGAAGATAATTTCTGACTCTTCTGCTAGTTTCTCTGTTTTCTTGCTGCATTGGGTATGAAATTTGCTTCCTTATATTGACAATTGAATTTAGCGACCTCCCCAGTGTCCTCATCTATTTTCCTGTGGATTTGTATAAACTTATCTATGGCTTTTTGCACATATGCATATAAAATTAACCACATTTCATGTGTGGATTTTTCCTCTGAATGCATCCCTCCCAGAAAATGCTACATTCCTTCAGATACAATGGCATCTTTGGTTCTTCATTTTCTCTTTCATTTCACTTACATTAAGTAGCATAATGTGACTACATGATCACTTTCCCTGAGTAGCACTCCAGTTTTTTTTTTTTTTTTTTTTTTTTTTTTGCTGCTGGTTGGGCCTCCTCATGCAGCTTCAAGTATTCTGCTACAATTCAGTTTTCTTTTAACATTCACAGAGCATCTATTCATTCCTTCTTTCCTGCTGTCCCTGTATGAATCTTTTATTACATCATGCCAAACTTATTATTTTGTCTTCTCTTTAATTGCCATATGATATGGAAATGACATATAACCTCCATAAAAGCTGTCATAGTATTATTGTATTCATGGGAAAGAGTTTGGCTTGGGGAATGGAAGGCATTCACATTTAAGCCAGGAAAGGGAAGGGCAATTGTATTTCCTTGAATCAAGAGCACCTTGCTAGCATTGAGGCACCCTTATTGAAGAAATTGTCATTGTAGATTGAATTTACTAATGATTGTAAGTTTTCCTGAAAGATAAGTTCTTTTCTCCTCTACTCTGATAGTCCTGTCAAATGAAGCTATGGTTTTTGGGCTAAATGTCAATTTTCTTAAAGAACTGCATTGGTGTCTAAGAGCTTTTTTGTGTTTTCACATCAAAGCAGTACACTTCTTGCTGCTGTTTCAAGGCCAGATCCTACAGTTGGCTAGTACAGTATCGTCTTGTTTGTTTTCTCAAAATCTCAGTGCATTTCATGCAATTCAGGCCTTTCGTGTGATTGTTTTTCACATTCTGTTAGCTAAGCTGCATTTCAGCAGTCACCAAAGAGTTGTGTTTTACTGGGTACCTGGCCATTCAGAAGATCAGCACAATGAGCCTGCCCATTTCTACATATTCTGCAATCCAGGCCCTTTTGGTTTTCCATTGGCAGTTGTCATTCCTCAGTCACATTAACCCTTAAGGGAGGTTCCTTTATGCTGGTGAGGGACTCTTAATCCAGGGAATTCCACCTGACTTTTCCGTCCAGGCATTATATGACCCCTAGGGGTTTAGTGTTCTGTCCCATGAATATAATAATAATTATAAGCTATTTTTGCATTCTAAGTACTCTTGTGAGATCACTGGCAACTATTTAAGTCTGCATTAGTGACCAACAACCCTTTATAAATCAAATCATAGTCTGGCTTCTTGTCATCCTCCCTTTATTGCTGTCAGCTGTGGGAAACTACTTTCATGCCTGCATACTCAAATCTGACTCCATCATGGTCATCTCATAGACATAAGCACTCCACCATTACAAGCATTGTCAGGTGCTGATAGTCTAACTTCTTTTGGATTCTTCCATTCATTAGAGAGCACACTACCTTCATCTTGTTAACTTTCCAATTCTGTCATGATTGCTCTGCCCTCTGTCCTACCATAAATGCAGGTTCTCTGATTTCTTGACCTTTCAGCACCTCTACTTCTTTTACTCTGCTGTTCCTCTTACACTTAGGTTTAGTACATTACATGCATATGCTACTGTACTACTATAAAAACTATAATTCAGAGCAGAGGGAGGCTGCAATGGTATTTATTTACAAAGGATGGCACATGACAGGTTGAATAAAAGATGCATAAAGCTAGGTGAATGGGAGATGGTGTAGAAGACATCCTAGAAAGAATTGGTAGGATATTCTTGAATGGTAGATACTTGAACATCCAACAGACTTGTACAATACATGTGTACATGATAGCTAAAACAAGTAGTTCTCGGATTTGTTATGTTTGATCCTTTTGTGTTAGGTGCCTAATTTGATTATTTTCTTATTAATGGGATTTGTCAAGCTGTTGAGGTGTGAGCAAGGTAACATCTCTGGAGGGATTTAAGGAAAGTGATTTGCTGGATCTGAATTTGGTGGAAGAATAATTCCTGCACACAAAAGGATGAGTGAGGATGTTGCAGTTTGGTTGATCATTTGAAGTGTGATATCCTTGGTGTGATGTCAAGCTGAGAACATGTGAAGAATGTATATAAATGGAACATTGTGTTAGGGTTAATGTGATGTCATGTGATGGATGCTTTGTTGATAGAATTTTACACAGCTGCTCTTTCTAGGAGACAAGCTGTTTTGTCATAGGTAAGAGAGGATGCATGGAACAGTCAGTCTTGTGTGAGCAGTATTTAATGAACAGCTCAGGTACTTAAATGAAACATATCCACTTGTACACAGCAGTCCAGAAAAAATATTTCCTCAACTCACCTTAGATCATACTACATATAAAGGAGTCTTGTGATGAATAGCATTTGCTAGCAGAGACTAATGTTGGTAAAACTTTACCACCTCTACAGAAAAAAGGAAAGTTACAAAGTATTAGTAAGTGGAAAAAAATAAATATATCCATATCACTCTGATCCTTATGGATTTAGCACTTAGTTTTTTTATTGACTGTACATCTCACCTCCAGGACTCAAGTCTAACTAACTAGTTTTTCTTGAATCCCTCTGTAAATGTTACCTTACTCATGCTCCAACAGCATGTAATATTACATTGTGTAAAGAATGTTTCAGAATTTTCAAGATGAAATTTTTATATCCAAGGTGTTCACCTAATTTATATTCTGTGAATTACTGTACGTACATTGTCTTTTTATTTTTCCAATAAAATATTGCGAGATTTATTATATTAGGAACTGGATTTAAACAATAAATGGTAAAATACAAGTTATGCTTTTTGATAAAATTTGATTTTTGAGAGAGTATTATTTGCTCAATGCAGCTCATTTTAGGAACTTGAATCAAACTTGATTGCCTCTCATTCCCTAGGCACTATAAGACCCCTATGGGTTTTGTGCTTCCCCATGATTATAATTTTAATAATAGGATATGTTACATTTTGTTTACACATTTAGTATATTTTTTTTTTTTTTTTTTTTTTTTCCTTCATGTGACATTTAACTTTTAAAATACATTATAATAAAAAACTAAGTGAAATGAAACTATTGCTAAATATGAGATTAAAAATAAGGTTTACTTACCAGAATAAGCCATGTTTACTTACAGTATTACTTGTTGAACATTACCCTGAAATGGGGTGAACTACTGTAGAGGAACTGATGATTCAAGGCATGCAGAACACTAATGGCCCATTGAGGTTTAGCACTTCTATGTGAATATTATTATAATAATAAACAGCATAATGGGCATCTGGTGTGAGGCTGTGCTTTGATTTATTATTTATTTTTAGGGGGAGAGAAGCAGCAGCTTCTCTATGATTGTTTATTTGCTCCTTCTATCTTAATATATTTCTCAACAGACTTTACTGAAATATGTTAAGCTTTTTAATACACACACTATACAACACCATTGGGTTTAACACTTCTCATGAATGTGATGATAATAATCATTTTAATGCAGAAAGTAAAAGGCGCTCATATAAAACAGTTTGGTGTGCTGTTACTTATCATTTTTTAAAGAGATATTTTGTTTATAAGCAAAGACTAAACAGTTAATCCACATGGATTGTTGACAGTGGAACAGGCCCTCAAGCATATAAGATAATAAGTCTGGTGATGTACTATTCTGCATCTTTAATTATGGAAGTCAGTTCTGTTGGAGTGTGAGCAGGGTAATATTTAGTGAAGGGATTCAGGGAAACCGGTTATTTTCATATAGTCGGACTTGAGTCCTGGAAATGGGAAGTACAATGCCTGCACTTTAAAGGAGGGGTTTGGGATATTGGCAGTTTGGAGGGATATGTTGTGTATCTTTATACGTATATGCTTCTAAACTGTCGTATTCTGAGCACCTCTGCAAAAGCAGTGATAATGTGTGAGTGTGGTGAAAGTGTTGAATGATGAAAGTATTTTCTTTTTGGTGAGTTTCTTTCTTTTTTGGGTCACCCTGCCTCGGTGGGAGACGACCGACTTGTTGAAAAAAAAAAAAAAAAAAGTTCTGGCATAGTGAGTTGACGTGATTCTTTAATAACTTAGTAATTTTCCTTTATTTCTAATACATCTCAGATGTAATTTGTTTCAAGTAATTTAACTTACTTTTTTTAATGCTGTGTTTTCATAACCCAATAATTGCATCTAGATTCTGTATTTAAGGTCCTGCTGTATATTCCTCTTAACAGGTTTTCCTGTCCCTCTCCCCTAGATCTTGATGATTCATCACCATTACAACTCAGCGTGGACCATCTCTTCATATAGGAGTTGATGAATCATTGCCTTAAAGGCAGTGATTCATCAACTCCTATATGATTTACTATCATCATGGCTTTCTCTGATTCTTTACTAATGCATTTAGGTTATGAGGACTTACTGCCATCATTACAAGTTTCTTTGAGTCCTTCCTTTTGTAGGTTGTGTTGATGACTTTGTATCTTAAGTTTGTCTTAATATATGTCCATTGTTTCTCCTGGGATTCTTCTGCCTACATGTAGGTCGTGGTGGCTGACTGGCTTTGTGCAGTAATTTGGCCTGGTTTCTGCTGCTTTAGGCTGATGCTGTGGCCTGGCTGACTTGTGTGTTGGTTCTTTCTGACAGGGTGATGTTAGCTGCCAGGGTGCAGAAAAGAGTGAACAGGACATCAAAAAGCAACAGTGCCAGTGCCATGTTCAGACCCAGATAGAATGTGAGACTTACACTCACCCACAACATAACCAGGTAAACTATTTTATAATGTGCATTGGCTTGTCCATTATTGTAAATTTGTTACTCATGCGTTTAAAATAATTTATTACATATTTAGTGGCAACTAAAATTATAGGAAATGGCTGATGCTGAGATGAAGATTCTGCGTGAGACGTTCACACAAGAAGATATTGAAGTCCATCAGCTTGCCGTCGCTCATGACACACAGACAAATTTGCTCAAGTGTGGTAAATGTGGACGCCGAGATTGTACTTATACTCAGGTAACTGTCAGTTTTATATATTTTCCTCTTGTTTGTGTATACAATATACAGATAGTCGTCGACTTACAACTTATCCAACTTACAACTATCTGATTTTTTTTTTTTTTAACACATTGACCGTCTCCCACCAATGCAAGGTGGCCCGAAAAAGAAAAGCTTTCATCATCATTCGCTCCATCACTGTCTTGCCAAAGGCATGCTTACACTACAGTTATAAAAACTGCAACATTAACACCCCTCCTTCAGTGTAGATACTGTACTTATGACCATAAATATTTGTTTGCCTGGCAGCACAAATGAGGCTGTACGATATTGATTCTGTATTTTATTTCAATTTTGATTTTAAGATTTGGGAGAGGGCCGACTTGTTGAAAAAAAAAAAATAAGAAAGAAGGAACACTGCAACAGGCCTACTGACCCATGCAGAGCAGGTTCATGTCCCCTTCTCCCCTGGATTAGCCCAATGACCCACCCAGTCTGGTCATCTCCACTCAAGGAAGGAGCATGGCACCAGACCCAGCAGCACAAGCTAGTCAGGTCCAACTCACACCCACTCATTTATTTATCTAACCTATTTTTAAAACTACACAGCATTTTAGCCTCAATAACTGTACTCGGGAGTTTGTTCCACTCATCCACAACTCTATTACCAAACCAGTGTTTTCCTATATCCTTCCTGAATCTGAATTTTTCCAACTTGAAACCATTGCTGCGAGTCCTGTCTTGGCTGGAAATTTTCAGCATGCTATTTATATCCCCTTTATTTATTCCTGTTTTCCATTTATACACCTTGATCATATATCCCCCCCCCCTAATTCTACGCCTTTTGAGAGAGTGCAGATTGAGGGCCCTCAGTCTATCCTCATAGGGAAGATTTCTGATACATGGGATCATCTTTGTCATCCTCCTCTGTACGTTTTCCAGAGCATTTATATCCATTCTGTAATACGATGACCAAAACTGTGCAGCATAATCTAAATGAGGCCTAACCAAGGATATTTAAGAGTTGAAGAACAACCTGAGGACTTCTATTATTTATACTTCTAGATATGAAGCCAAGGATTCTGTTAGCTTTATTGTGAACACTAATGCACTGTTGTCTTGGTTTTAGATTACTGCTAACCAGAACTCCTAAATCCCTTTTGCAGTCAATAGTATTAAGATCTACATTATTTAGTTTATATGTGGCATGGTTATTTTCCTGTCCAACATTTAGAACTCTGCATTTGTCTATATTAAACTGCATCTGCCACTTCTCCGACCATTGCATCAATCTATTCAAATCATCCTGGAGTGCTCCAGTGTCCTCATTAGAATGAATTGGCCGGCCTATTTTGGTGTCATCAGCAAATTTGCTTATGTTGCTACTTATTCCCTCATCAATGTCGTTTATGTAAATTGTGAACAACAACGGGGCCAACACTGACCCCCTGTGGAACACCGCTTATGATGTGCCCCCATTCTGATTTCTCCCCATTTATGCAAACTCTCTGCTGCCTATTTGTCAGCCATGCCTCTACCCAGGAAAAAAATTCTCCTCCTATTCCGTAGGCCTTAAGTTTCCTCAATAGCCTCTGATGTGGAACTCTATCGAAAGCCTTACTAAAGTCCATATACACAATATCATATTCATTACCATTACCATGTACACATGTTTGAATTAAATTTTTTTCTAAGATAAAAAAAATTCAAGGAAAAAGATGATATAAGATTATAAAATATGTAATTACAATACCAATCTGACTTACGTCCAATTCAACTTATGACCGGTTGGCCAGAAACTAACCTGGTCACAAATCAACAACTATCTGAATTTAAACATTGTTCATTTGTTTTTATATTTCTAAATTTTAGAGAAAGGAATGAAACTGATAGGTTGTTTTCTGATAATTTATTTGATTTTTCTGTCATAAAGTTAGAGGAAAATTATAGTAAAGGTAATTTTAAAGGAAACAAGCGATTCAGTGACGCAAAGTTGCCTAATAAACTTTAAATCACTCAGTTGCTTCCTTTAAAATCTGAGTGGATTTGTTCCTTGATTTATAACATCCATGTAAAGGGCACTTAGAAGGCTGATGAATAAGTAGTTTTTCTTAAAATTGTAAGAATTACTGAGTATATTGAATGTTTTGAGTGAAAGGAAGTGGGATGTCCTGGCACTGAGTGAAATCATAGTCAAAAGGGATAATAGATAATGAAAGTGTAGCAGTGCTGTTTCATGAATAACTGGAGAACAAACAATGGTTATTGAGAACTTTAATTCAAGAATTATGCAAGTAATATAAGGGCAATACTTATGAAACATGTTGCAGTTTTTGAGTTATAGTATCGGCGTGCCTCTGGCAAGACAGTGATGGAGTGAGTGATGATTGTTTCTTATTTTTCCAGTCACCTTGCCTCAGTGGGAAATAATACTGATAGACCTTTAAATTTTGCTTTGGATTTTACATTTTGAAGTATTTTGAGCTAAAAGTTTGTTTGTGTTTTACTGAATCACTTCAGGAAAAAGTGTATTGATAATATCCCATATTTTATCAGTTCACTTCTGTTTACTCACTTTTAGCCCACATGAGTGCTTATACCTAAGTTCCCATTTGTTCATTTTCTATATTACTATAAAATTCACCCTTAATAATATTTCTTCCATTATTCAAGAAGCATCACAAATACACACAGCTGATACAGGTTAGAGGTGGTCCTGAGAGGTCATGGAAATAAGTTTTTTACTCTTTGAAGCAATATTCTGTGGCAAAGAGACTTGTTCCACCAGCACTGTTAGCAGGCAAGGTCTCCTTTAGATGGAAAGATTTTGATTGATTGCCTGTTTGTTTGCAAATATATCATATTTTATCTCTATTTTTTCAATAAAATCAGTTCTTCTATCAGTATTATTGTATGTTCTTTTTCAATCTCTTGACCTCTATCCTTATACCTATACAGCCTCTCCTCACTTAGCAACGTACTTGTTTACTGACGACTCAGAGTTACAACGGGCTCTCTGACCAGTGTGCATACCTAAATAATGTATATTAGAGCTGATTTCCTCTGTTCTATTTATTACAGTATACAGTACATTAATGTATAAACATTTAAAAATGTACTAAATATGTTGTAAATGGTGCAGAGGTGACATTAAAACAATATCAAAGATGGTTGACACAAACCCACTACCATTATAGTACGTATGCTCCTTGCTTAGTGATGAATTTGTTTACCGACGTGGTCTTAGGAATGGAACTCCATCATTAAGTGAGGAGAGGCTGTATTTCTTGTGTGTACTAATGTTCCTTAGGCTAGACCTCAAACTTCACTACACTATATTGCAGCCTGAGTTTATTTAGATAAATTGTATGCAATAGGTTCCTTATAGTGTATCTTCTACCTTTATGCTAAGTATATATCTAGACAACATGCACTCCTTAGTTTCATCTTTACCTAAACAAGTTCTGTTGTTAGGCAATTTGTTTTACAGTCATTTGTGTAAATGAAGTATGATGAAAAATAATGTAGAATAGAGCAGGCTGTTTAAAATTAACACAAAAGGGGTTTGGGATATTTGCTGTTTAGAGTGACATCTAAACTGTCATATCTGTGTGCCTCTGCAAAGACAGTGATAGTGTGAGTGATGGATAAAATGTTTATTTTGTTTGGGTCACCCTGCCTCAATGGGAGACGGCCACCGTGTTAAAAAAAAAAAAGTGTACGTAAGGAATAAATGACTTTAGGCCAAGCAGACAGAAAGAAAGAAGTTGAACATGTTCCAGTACATAGAATGAATATATATATCAGGGGATGGTCCCACAAAGAATTGAGCAAATCATAAAATAGATAAGAAATTTTTTTCAAAATTCCCTAAACACTAGCTTGACTTCTCCCAAAATCCTTTCTGTCTACACTCCTCTCTTCTCCAGGTGCATAAGCACTTAGAAATCGTGGAAAAATATATCAGAGCATAGTTTGGGAATATATCAGGGTAAAGCTATACCTAATGCTTTAATACTGGTGTGAAGCCTAATATTTAATGTTACAATAAGATTACAGGATGTAGAAATGTCTTGTCCGAGATTAGTGTGATGTAAATATGATGCAAACAATGGAGAAATGAAAGGTAAAGTTCAAAGAGTGGAAGATGGGTTGCTGAGATTATTTGCTAATGTTGAAAGATTGATTTAAAGGAGGGTATCAAAGAAGTATTAAAATTTGTATGGAACAAGACTCTGTAGACTAATAAATGCTTGTGTCTCTAAACAGACGCAGTCGAAAAATTCTGAGGAGCCTATTACTACGTCAGTGTTGTGCAATTATTGTGGTAAACGTTGGAAGTTCTGCTGAGTTTCAAGTCAGTATTAATCAGCTATGTCCCAAAGGATTTCTTTGTCTTTAAGCAGAGCTTATTAATCATTGGTTGCTACTAAAACTATGCATCTTCAGAGTTAGAATAATTCCTGATGCAGGCAGTCTTGACATGTACCTCAGCTGCTTAAAAGGTGCTACATTAAGTTTATCATTCCTCATGCTTTTGACCTATAATGTTTCATAATACTTGTGGCTGAATTTTTGTTTTCATAAACTATATTATGTGAATATATGAGAAATTAATGTATTTATATTTTACATTTAGCAAATACCAGTATAGTAAACTCTTGCCCTGTGTTAGGATTATGTTCCCTGAAAACCCTGTAAACATAAAAAATATCAGTAATTGAATTACAAGACTGATAACAACTAGTATATGAACACAAGAGATAGAGCATGAATGGTTTGTCCTTTTGCTATACATTGACATATTTATGTTTAGGCAAATTTTTCCACATATGCTATTTAAGTTAGTTTAAGGTATTTTAATATAAACCAAATTTAAAATTTTTTAGTATTCATTAACATTAGAATAAATGGAATATAATCAAAAAGGTAAGACTGTGCCTTGATGTGTAAACAGAATACAAGGAATCACTGAGAATGAGGAAGCATGAAGACTCACAAAATCAGTTTTCACATTTGTCACAGCTGCATTACTAACAGTCTTGAACCACAGCAAACAATGCAATATTTGCTTAGGAAGATGGTTTCATTTGAATGGTGAGGGGTAGTCAGTCAGGGAAGGTGTGTGTAGTATATTTAGGGAAGAAACAGTGAGGTAACAAGTAAACAAGTGTACATGCAATTACTTTGTTCTGATTAGTTCTACCGAGCTGTTTTTTCTTTTGCATTAAAAGACTGCTGAATATGTTTAGGAGGAGAAAAGTGTATTTGCTTATAAATTTGCAATAAATCCCTAAAATTTGTTTGTAGGAGATTGTGGATAAGACTTTTTAACTAAATATCATCTCCACATGATTAACAGTGTGTTTCTGAGGCATCAGTATACTTGGTGCACCACCACACAGTAAATTCAGCTTGTATCACCACTTGCCCACACTCCTGTATTTATATATTTTTAGCAGTTGAATGATACATTTCTAATCAATGATGTATGTTAATCTTTTATAGCCCTTCTTTTAATGACCAATTGCTTAATATATTTTCAGTTAATGACCCAAAAAAACACTTAGGATTGTTTCCCTGTTTAATAACTACCTCTCACTCTTACATTGACCAAATTCCCAGTGGCAGACCCCTTTCAGAATTATCACTCTCTGGCTCATACAACAACCAGAGCCCAGGGTAATATTCACAGTTTCACTTGATTTTTTAACAATCTCTTCTTAAATTTTGTTCAACTGATTCACTTTGACTGAACCAAAAGAAGAGACTTAGGTGGTTTGTTTTCAACTTGAATGTCATACACCAAGTCAAAAGTAAAGGAAGACACAGCCAGACAAAATATGACTGAATTTTGTGCTTTTTTATTGGTTGTTTGTGAACTACATTCATTTTTTATATGGTATGTGTATTGTAAACTCATATTTTTTGGGGAAACATTTGTCAAGAAATGTGAAATCAACAGTCATAAGGATATATCGCTTAATTTTTAACACTGTCTCTAAATATTACTCTAAGCTGTTTTATATTGACACTCAAAAGGAATTCAGTGAACATAATTTGTTCAAAATCCTATGTTTTATTTTCAGTTTGAGCATCAAGTACTAAATGATCATAAAAAGCACACTGTTGAACTTTTAATAAATATCACTCTAAGCTAGTATATATTGACATTCGTAAGTAAAACTTGATTATAAGAAAAGAAGTTCAGGTATGGGATTGGGAGTGAACCTATTTTGAGTGAAATCCTATGATTTGTTTTCAATTTGAGTGTCATACACAGAATCATAAGAAAATGGAGGCTTGACCAGACAGAATTTTGTATTATATTTTTTCTCAGCTATTTTTGGATCAGATTCATTCATTGTGTATTATCATATGGTATGGAGGGGTTTGGGATATTGGCAGTTTGGAGTGATTATTTAAACTGTCATATCTGGGTGCCTCTGCAAAGACAATGATTATATATGAGTGATGGTAAAAGTGTTGACTGATAATGAAAGTTTTTCTTTCTTTTTGGGTTTTTCTTTCTTTTGGGGCCCCCTGCTTTGGTGGGAAATGGCTGACGTGTTAAAAAAATGTAATACGTGTATTTGTAAACATTCATCAGGAATGAAAAAATAATAGGAACCAGTTATAACAGATTTCTGTGGGAATATTAGATTTCCTTAATGTTTTTGTTGGTTAACAAACCATTTTTTCAGCCCCTATCTAGGTTGTTAACCCTTTCACTGTCCAGACCCCAAAATTAAAATTGCTCTCAGTGTACAAATTTAAAAAAAAGTAATCTTATAGACCCATATGAAGTACAATATACATATATCCACCTGTTGTTTGCAACACAATACCCACATTAATGGTGTCATGAGTACATTGTTTAGAAAACATGTTTACACAACAATTTAAACACACACAGGTACAAATATTTCACATTACTACTGTTCTATTTTTTTTTAACATGCTGGCCGTCTCCCACTGAGACAGGGTGACCCCTCCCCTCCCCCCCCCCCAAAAAAAAAAAACACTTTCACCATCATTCACACTATCATATATTGGTCATGTACCTAGAGCTGTTATAGTTTGTAGAAGTCCTTGAAGCACTTCTCCATACATAGCTGTGTTCTACACATCTCTACACATAAAATGTGTTTTTACTTTGGTTGCCACTTGTCAACATAGCATCTCTTATGAGCCCATTTCAGTGTTGTTAGGAAGTGATCATCAAACTTCAAAAGAGAGGGTACTGTATTTGATAATCATCATTTCTCATTCTGTATTTCTGGCACCCTGTTTGTTCAAAACCAAAGACCTTATCAGTTCCATAATTATCATTGTTGGAGCAGTCATTGGGGCATAAAACTTGTTCATTTTGCCTGGCAGTGAGGTTTTTGCATCGTCCTGCCATGGTCAACAAGGTGCACTATATACAGTGGTACCTCGGGATACGAACAGCTCAAAACTCAAACAATTATGTGAGTGTATTTATGTAAGTGCTTTTGTAAGTGTATTTTTTAGGGTCTGAAATGGATTAATCTAATTTACATTATTCCTTATGGGAACAAATTCGTTTGGTATCGGCACTCGAGCAGCCTTCTGGAACAAATTAAGTTCGTATCCCAAAGTACCACTGTATAGTATTCCCACAATGCACTGTGGGGGTCCCAATTTTTTGTATACTGTGCAGTGACCACTCAGACCCATTCTCATGTAGGCCTACCAGGCCTTTCGTGCTAAATTTAAAGCAGCTAGAATTTAGGCGTAGATCTACATCAGTGACCCTGGCATCAATGACATAGTTTTACATGATTCAAAGGGAGTCAACTTTAAAATGTACTGTAATTAGTCTTATTTATTATTAGCAACTTCAGTAGATTTGTAGCCTTCAACTTTATTATTAAAAGTTTTAGTATTTTTGTAGTCTATGTGTTTTGATGAATGAATTTAAAAGTACTCAAGGGCTTATGTCCTGAATGTCGTATAATCATAAATACATACTTGTAAACACACTGAATCATATAATAAATTCATGAGAGGCAAGGAGTTATTGTACTGTAATTGTAATTTAAATAATTTTGAATTACTTCTTATTAAATTCACTGGTGTGTGTGCAAAAGTTACTATGCCATTTTTACAAATATAACAATCATTGATTATACAGCCCCTTCTAAGGGAAGGGTGAACTGGATTTTCACCAAGACCCAGTAGGTAGGTTGCAAAGGTGTAATGCTAATTGATATGGGTATAAGGACACAATATGCAGAACCAGCTTTTATTGTTGTGCTTGAGATTGAGAGAAATGTAATCTCAATAAAGGCTTGTTTTACATATTGTGTCTTTATACCCATACCAGATGATCACATTTTTTTTGGTTCCTTTGTTTTGCACATTACTTATCTGTGTGTGTGTATTATATGTATAGGTACCAGACTGAGCAACACCATTGTATAATGTTGGAAGTTGAATCACCATTTACCAGAAGTAATTACCATTATTCTTGGTAATTCTGAACCTGTACTCCCTGGAATGCAGGCGGGAGAGATACATGATTATATACACCTGGTAAACCCTAGAGGGACTAGTACCAAACTTGCACATGAAAATCACTCCCTATGAAAGCAAAAGACTCAGCAGACAATGCAACATCATCCCCAATGAAAAGCAGGGGTGTCACTAGCATGTTAACCCTTAAACTGTCCAAGCAGATCTACATTCACATGCGTAGTGCTCTAAAAGTAGATCTACGTTTATTTTACGTATTTTCAAATATAACAAAAAAAAAAGTAGATCAAAGTTTTTTACGCGTATTCAAATGTAAAAAAAAAAAGATCTACTTTTTTACATACTTTCAAATGTTGAAAAAACGTAGATCTACATTTGGACAGTTTAAGGGTTAAGAGACAACACGATAAGTGTCAGGGGCCCAAGACTGTTCAACTGCCTCCCAGCATACATAAGGGGGATTACCAATAGACCTCTGACTGTTTTCAATCAGGCACTAGACAAGCACCTAAAGTTGGTACCTGACCAGCCGGGCTGTGGTTTGTACATTGGATTGCATGCAGCCAGCAGTAACAGCCTGGTTGATCAGGCCCTGATCCACTATGAGGCCTGGTCACAGACCGGGCCACAGGGGCGTTGACCCCCAGAACTCTCTCCAGGTATATCATACCTTGATAATTTATGTATGAAACTACTATGTCATTAAGTTTAGACTTTAGAATGAAAGATTCCTTTTTACATTCCCTGAAACCAACCTAACATAGGAGCATATACAGTACTATATGTTGTAGTAAATATAATGATAGGATATTTTAGCATTTTACTGAGATTTACACTTCATTTCATATGGTTGTATGTTGTGCGAGAGCATAAAATTATGATTTACTTTATGTAGGATTATATGTGGCATTCATTGTTCGTCATTCTAGATCTTGGACTATTTTAAGTTTTCATGCCTCACCCCTTGATAAGATTTTATGTTAAGAAAACTAGGGTACATGAGGTCCCAAACTTAACTACACCAAAGTTACAAGTGACCACACCTTCAAATAAGGTCTGTAAGAAATATAAAAAATATTTATGCCAATCTGCAGTTATGAATGTGTAACACAACCATTTTTGTTGTACTACTGAATTATTTTCTGTAGGAATATAAGTTCCAAGTTTCTAAGTTGGAACACCAGGAACATATCTTGTCCATTAATTGGGAACCCACTGTTCAGTGTCTATAAAGAGTGTATATTGGTGTATCTAATACTATAGGTTGCTGTATGTGTTTAATGAAAGTATTCTTTTGCATTATATCCTGAAAATTATGTTTTCAAATTTCTGTATACTTTGTAGGTTTTTCTTAAATCATAGACAATTTTTATCACCCAAACTTCTTACTGTGTGCTTGACTGTAGAGTCTATAGACTCTTATACTGTAATTTGTTAGTCAGGATATGAAATTATTACTTTTTTACTTTTTGATAATTTATATACTGTATAAGTTATTTAGTTCATCATTGTCCATTGTCATTGCATATTAAGAGATTTCCCTATGCTATATAGATGAGTATGCAACATGTTGAACCTGCTTTTCTTGTTGATACAGTAAATCCTCCGTGTAACAGACTAATAGAGAGAAGGGGGTGTCCTTTGAGTTAAATGTCTAGTGGATCAAAATTATGAAATTGATTTTCCATGATTGTAACATTAATGGACAAATGCCCGGATGCAGCAGACCTGATTCATTAAATGGAAAGTCTACCATACACACTATAATACCACTAACTGACAAGTGCCCCATGCAACAGATTTAGTCCATTGTATCGAGGTTTTGTCTGTTGTATCCAAAATCCATTACATAGGGGTTCATTACATCGAGGGTTTACCGAAGTGCATTAAATTTTGGAGTGTAGCATATGTGTACCCATTAGATCATCTTTATATTTGTTTTATGCTAGGGATTTTTTTCATTATCATTAAAGATTATAATTTTAAAATTTGTTCTTAGTTACAATAAAAAAATAATTTACAAGTAACCTTCCTACTGATGAGGTCCAAAGCACTGCAAGATTACCACACCACACATCACAGAGATACCGTTGAATTAAGGTGCCTTAGTCCAAGCTTTTGCTAGTAGCAAAGTGGACCAGCTATCTAGCTTGTAGCAAAATGAGTAAATTATAGCTTATCATTGCCCAGTGGAACAACTATAGCTTATAGCAAAGAGATCAGGGTATGGCTTGTTATGGCAAAGTGGACAGGTTATAGCTTGTTGCAGCAAAGTGGATATGCTATAGTTTGTCAAAGTAAACTAGACAGGCAATTGTCTGTTGTGTTACAGTAAAGTGGACAAACTATACCTTGTTATTGCAAATTGGATCAAGGTACCATGTTTTAATGACATTTCAGTGATGACTTTGGTGACAATCTTGCATGTGTTAAACCCCACCTGCAGGAAGATTAATATTTGTAAATATTAATTATGGTCTGTAAATTTGAGATATAGGACTCTTAAATAATATAGTGTATAGAACTACTTTTTTTTTAACATTGGAGCATTGCCATTCTTAACAGAGTACATTAAAGCCCAACTTTGATGGATGAAAGATGTCTTTCCAAAGCTGTACTGGGTCTACTGGTATTCTCTTCATATATAAAATATTGACTGAGTAGGTTTCCAGTAGACATTGTAACAATTTTTGACATAACTTTTTGTTTGTCCATTATTAATATTTATTATCTTGCAACTTTAAATTTAATGTGAAATTTAGCCAGTTTCTATTCCTAAAGCTTTAATTACTAGAATTAATACTGTTTTCCTATCATGAGTACTATAATCCTATCAATACAATTGTACCTGTAGACATATTGTTTTATTTTTCTCCATACACCAAATTACAGTAGTGCTTGACAACCAGATACTACATATGGTTGAACCAGTCCCAGAAGAATCATTGTCAAAGATGGAAGCAAGAGCAACTAGAGATATAGAAACAAGTGTAATACAGTATTTGTTAAATAACTGTTGTGTCAGTATGCATCTGTTAGTAACAAGATTTATCACATCCTTCTTACACAGAAATCTTTGTATTTTCTCCCTATGCTTTCACTCTTTTGATCATTACTCCATTTAAAGGGGTGCTTTGATGCTGGTAAATAGCTCTTGAATCAAGGAATTAGAACTAGCCACTTCTTCCTTGGATCAAATGCAGTTGCCTATTGTGTCCCAGGTGCTGTATGGCCCTTACAGATTTAGTGCTTCCCATTAATATAATAATAATAGTTGCCTTACAACATCCATTGCTTTCCTCCAATACTACTCTTACTCATTATACCACACATTTTTTTAAGACGTCAGTTGTTTCCCACTAAGGCAGGGTGACCCAAAAAGAAAGAAAAACCCAAAAAGAAAAAAAAAACTCATCATCATTCAACACTTTCACCATCACTCATACATAATCACTGTCTTTGCAGAGGCTCTCAGATATGACAGTCTCCTCAAGGGAGATTCCTTGATGCTGGTGAGAGACTCTTGATCTAGGGAACTGAATCTGTGCTCCAGTTTCCTGAATTGAAACCTGAATACCTTCCACTCCCTCCCCCCACATGCACTGTATAATCCTACAGGTTTAGCTCTCCCCCATGATTACAATAATAATAATAATAATCAGATATGACAGTTTAGATGTCCTTCCAAACTGCCGATATCCCAAACCCCTCCTTTCAAGTCCAGGCATTCTACTTCCCATTTCCAGGACTCTAGTCTACCTAACCAGTTTCCCTGAATATATATTATATATATTATCACACCGGCCGATTCCCACCAAGGCAGGGTGGCCCGAAAAAGAAAAACTTTCACCATCATTCACTCCATCACTGTCTTGCCAGAAGGGTGCTTTACACTACAGTTTTTAAACTGCAACATTAACACCCCTCCTTCAGAGTGCAGGCACTGTACTTCCCATCTCCAGGACTCAAGTCCGGCCTGCCGGTTTCCCTGAATCCCTTCATAAATGTTACTTTGCTCACACTCCAACAGCACGTCAAGTATTAAAAACCATTTGTCTCCATTCACTCCTATCAAACACGCTCACGCATGCCTGCTGGAAGTCCAAGCCCCTCGCACACAAAACCTCCTTTACCCCCTCCCTCCAACCCTTCCTAGGCCGACCCCTACCCCGCCTTCCTTCCACTACAGACTGATACACTCTTGAAGTCATTCTGTTTCGCTCCATTCTCTCTACATGTCCGAACCACCTCAACAACCCTTCCTCAGCCCTCTGGACAACAGTTTTGGTAATCCCGCACCTCCTCCTAACTTCCAAACTACGAATTCTCTGCATTATATTCACACCACACATTGCCCTCAGACATGACATCTCCACTGCCTCCAGCCTTCTCCTCGCTGCAACATTCATCACCCACGCTTCACACCCATATAAGAGCGTTGGTAAAACTATACTCTCATACATTCCCCTCTTTGCCTCCAAGGACAAAGTTCTTTGTCTCCACAGACTCCTAAGTGCACCACTCACTCTTTTTCCCTCATCAATTCTATGATTCACCTCATCTTTCATAGACCCATCCGCTGACACGTCCACTCCCAAATATCTGAATACGTTCACCTCCTCCATACTCTCTCCCTCCAATCTGATATTCAATCTTTCATCACCTAATCTTTTTGTTATCCTCATAACCTTACTCTTTCCTGTATTCACCTTTAATTTCCTTCTTTTGCACACCCTACCAAATTCATCCACCAATCTCTGCAACTTCTCTTCAGAATCTCCCAAGAGCACAGTGTCATCAGCAAAGAGCAGCTGTGACAACTCCCACTTTGTGTGTGATTCTTTATCTTTTAACTCCACGCCTCTTGCCAAGACCCTCGCATTTACTTCTCTTACAACCCCATCTATAAATATATTAAACAACCACGGTGACATCACACATCCTTGTCTAAGGCCTACTTTTACTGGGAAAAAATTTCCCTCTTTCCTACATACTCTAACTTGAGCCTCACTGAATCCCTTCACAAAATATTACCCTGCTCACACTCCAAAAGCTCGTCAGGTCCCAAAAACCATTTGCTCTATTCACTCTATCTAACACGCTCACGCACGTTTGCTGGAAGTCCAAGCCCCTCTCATACAAAACCTCCTTTACTCCCTTCAATTTTTTTGAGGATGACCCCTACCCCGCCTTCCTTCCCCTACAGATTTATACGCTCTCCAAGTCATTCTACTTTGTTCCATTCTCTCTAAATGACCAAACCACCTCAACAAACCCTCTTCAGCCCTCTGACTAATACTTTTAGTAACTCCACACCTCCTAATTTCCACACTAAGAATTCTCTGCATAATATTTACACCACACATTGCCCATAGATATGACATCTCCACTGCTTCCAGCCTCCTCCTCGCTGCAGCATTTACAACCCATGCTGAACACCCATGTAAGAGTGTTGGTACCACTATATTCTGGTCCATTCCCTTTGCCTCCATGGATAATGCTTTTTGTTCACTTATATGCTTCACTGTAAACATTTGGTCTACACATCTCCTACCCTTCCTAAAGCCTCCTTGTTCATCTGCTTACCCTTAATTCTTTCAATAACAACTCTGTTATATACTTTACCTGTTATACTTAAAAGCCTTATAGCACTATAATGTTTTACAAAGAAAATATGCATGCTCTCTGCTAGTCCCTAGGTACCTTCCCCTCTTTCATACATTTATTGAACAAAAGTACCAACCACTCTAAAACTTATCCCCACCTGCTTTTAACATTTTTGTTATAATCCCATCAATCCCAGCTGCTTTACCCACTTTCATTTTAATCACTGCCTTATGTACCTCCTCCACATTCACATCTGGCTCTTCCTCATTCCCAAAAAATATTATACTTTCCTGGCCAGTGCATGAAATCACTGCCTCCCTTTCCTTAATGGCTCAAAATATTCCTGCCATCTTCAAAATACCTCCAACTCCCCATCTAATAACTTCCCTCTTATGTTTTTAACTGTCAAATTCATTTGTTCCTAGGCTTTCTCAATTTGTTAATCTCGTTCCAAAACTTTTTCTTATTCTCAGCAAAATTTGTTGACCGAATCTCACCCACTCTCTCATTTGCTCTCCTTTTATACTCCCTCACCACTCTTAACCTCTTTTTTACTAACCTTATACTCCACCCTCCTTATAACACTTATGCTTTGTGAAAACCTCTTATATGCTAACTTTTTCTTCCCTACCACTCCCTTTACCTCATCATTCCACCAATTGCTTTCCTTCCCTCCCATACCCACCCTCCTGTATCCACAAACTTTTGCCGCACATTCTCACACCGCATTCTTAAATATACCCTATACCTCTTCAGTTTCATTACCTATATCCTCACTAGCCTATCTTTCTCCCAATAATTGCTTGTATCTTTCCTTAACTACCTATAATTTATACATTTTCACGTCTCTTATTCACTGATGTCATTTTTCTTCTATCCCATGTACCTCTTACTGTAGCTACAACTAAATAATAATCTGACATATCTGTTGCCCTTCTATATGTAAACATGTACATCCAGAAGTCTACCAATCAACCTTTTATACACCAATACATATTCCGACTAACTATTGTCTTTAAGCCTGAAGTTACAAATATGTATAGTAATCACAAGATGGCAGTCTTGTGATTACTGTACAAAGTGGTTGATGGATGATGGAATATAGTGTAGATAAGTATCATGTAATGGAAACAGGAAAAGTGACAATAGGTTTCATGACAGATATAGACTGTGATAAAGTATCAAAACCATGTGCTAGAGGAATTTCAAAATTTTACATTAGGAAATTTTATAATGCAATGAAACTCACATGCTTCATTTGCAAAGTTTAAAATAGCATACACTTCATGCTGGTAAAAGGCTCTTAATCCAAGGAATTGTAGTTCCACTCTCCTTCCCCGAATCAAACTCGATTGCCTTTCATTTCCAGACTTATGACCCTACGGGTTTTAAACTCTTCCTAATGAACAGTAAGCAGAGATGAGTACCTCAATATGTTTGCACTGTATAACCCATATGGGTTTAGTGCTGTTTGTGAATTTGTATAATACTGGATTGTAATAATATATCAAGCAGAGATGAAGACATTAAGTGAAAGCAAAAAAAAAAAAATGGTTTTGAGAACTTGTTCTCATTGTTTAGTGTGAAGCTTTCATTTTGTGGCTTGCTGGTCCAGTGGCTAACGCGACGGTCTGGAGTTTTGAGACTCTCTGACCGCGGGTTCAAATCCCGCCCGTGGTATGGTTTCATTTACAAAAGATGCAAATTTCAATTTAATGCAAATGGCTTTCTTAAGATATCTGACCTCTCAAGGGAGGTTCCTTGATGCTGGTGAGGGGCTCTTGATCTAAGGAATTGGATCTGTGCTCCAGTTCCCTGAATTGAGCATGAATACCTTCCACCTCCCTACATGCGCTGTATAATCCTACGGGTTTAGCGCTCCCCATGATTATAATAATTGAGATATCTGGAAGCAAACTGTAAGAAATAGTAAAGGCAAGTCATTAAAGCACCCCTCCTAGGACACCTCTTAGTAAAACCATCTTTCCCCAAAGTGTTGGATGACTCATACGGGTTTAGAATATATATGGTAATAATGCAAATCTTTGCCCAAAGCTTCCTGGACACTGACTGCCCCACCTTTGACAGACTTCCTGTTTAACTTTTTGTCAGCAACAGTTTTATTACACTAACTTGGATTATATATATACTTACCTTTAGCACCCGTCACTACCCTTCCTAACTCTGCCATCAATCATATTCTTCACCCCCCCCCTTGTCTCTAATCTTTAGCACACCCTACTCTGCAGCCATGTATGACCCTAGTGGGTTTAGCGTTTAGTTATGATTGTAATTAAATAATTTTCCCCAAAATTTGTTGAATTCCCCACAAGGGTTTTTGCTTCAATAAGTAATAAAAAAAAAAAGGTCTTCCAAAAATCGGTCACTACAACTTTTTAAATGGAAACAAATAACTGCATCAACCGTGACTTAAATTTTTGCTCTCGTATGACCCCCATTGCTTCTTTCCCCCCTGAGGGCAAGTCCTCTTGTTTAGAGAATTATGATTTTCATTGGCGGGGCAGTACTGGGCGGCTTCAGCTTCTTCAGGGGGTCATGGCAGTAGGGGCCTGACTGGCACTGCACTTTTTTTTGGGGGCACATCGCCCATAAATTCCGGGCTGCCCCCCACTGAATCATTTGGGCGGGCCCAGCTTTGCTCTCCTCTGTTTTTTTATGGCAAGGTTCTGCATTGCTCTTCCCTATCAGGTGGGGCGACGTATTGCTAAGACCAAGCCCAGTTGGTCAGGTACTGATTTAAGTTGCCGCCATCTCCCGTTTGCAGCACCCGGGGGGTCATTCCTTATGTATGATGGCCCCTGCGTTTATCGGTTGTCCCTTAGCGTACTGTTCAACGCCCCTGCTTTTCAATGGAAGGGGGGGGGGGGAGTTGCCGTTCTTTTTTAGGGAAGTGATTTCCGTGTGCAACTTTGGGACAAAGTTGCTTTGGGATTTTCCCCAATGAAAATTTTATCAGTATC